CATCTTCCACAGAGGAATATCAATTCCATATGTCGTGGGAGAACATTGGCTGCCTCCTTCCACCTCGACGACCCAATCGCCCTATCCATACTCGTTTTGTAAGGAACTTCTTGTGCAATAGTGGGAACGACGGATGAGACTGATTGGAAGAGTGAGATGACAGTTAAGGGTGAATGTCTCAATGAAGTAGCATTATTTTACCTGATTCCAGCAAAGGAGGGGAGATCGAAGGAGACATGAGTATTTTCTCCTATATTTGTTTTAAGGGTGAGGGGGACTGAAGGCGTGGGAAAATGACAGGGAAGTCTTTTTTGTAGCATTATCTCTTTTGCTAGCAAATCCGGATTAGGGGGATAATGGCGCAGGGGATAAGAAAACTCGTCCGCATCAACGGAAAGTCCGGGATAATGACATCCGGATCAACGAGAGTTGACTGTTCTTAGTGAAATTTTCATCCTGAAACAAAAATTAGTTCTTTTATCATAGCATGGAAAATGGTTTGGGACGAGTTTGGCCTGCGATGAGTTTGGCTTGCCTTGAATTGAGGGCGATGAATTGGGCGCGATGAATTGACGTAGAATCTCGACGATCGACGGTAACCAAGGTCGTGTGAATGTCCAAGACGGGTTCATTCCCATTGCATTGAGGAAGAGTTTTTTTTACCCCTGAAATTTCGCAATAGAAAGATCCCCTCCTACTTGCTAAGGACGTCTATCGACCTAAAGCCGATTATCGTAAGAAGCGGCTGCAGTGCACACATGGCCATCTGCTTCGCCCTCATGGCCCCTCCGTCCCTTGCAAAGTACTTTTTTGATGCATTAAATTACTTCCTCGATTTTCCAATTTGTATTGCTCATGACTGCTCGCGTTCCTACTTGTTGCTCTCGTTTTAACCAAACTTAGCTAGGCTTCAATGCTCGCAAAACTAACGAGGGAAATCGCGCGTGAGGCCTCAGACCTTTCATTCGAAATAAATTCCAGTACAGAATTCACTTCCCCGATGGAACTCTTGAAAATATGAAGAAACTCACGCAATGGTTTGCGTTTTCTATGGAATTTCAGCGGGGCGAAGAAAAGCCGCTACCATGGATTTGCAAAGGATTCCGTGAAAAAAAAATGGATACACGCCTTCTTCGGCAAAATGTCCACCCTTACGAGGATTCCTTGTGCGGATTTATTAATAATCATTTTTAGGCTCAGCGGTCTCATGTCATGCTCCTTCCTGACCCGACCGTTCCGCATGGGATCGATCCTGCTGAAAGGAATGAGGCGTGGTGTTGGGAGGCGTTTAAAACGATGCCGGTGCGAAAATTTAAACAGGTTCACATGAAATTGACGTGAAATAATTATCATACTAGCAGGGGCTATTCCCGACTCGGATGAAGACATGTTTCACTGAACCGACCCTGAACAACCTCCGTGTCGTCCACCTGTCGGCTCCCGCAAACGATCGACCCCTTGTCCCCAAAGACCCGGCGACGACAATTCGGCTCCAATGTTGAGAAAACGAAGGTAGCGACATCCTCTGAAATCCAGTAAGAAGTTCAAGCGAGAGCCAATTGGTCCTAGAAAAAAGGCCCTTGCGCCGGAAACCGTTTCGTTGGCGTGAAGTTGTATGAGCTATTTTTGCAAGTTCAAAATTAGCGCATTTTTGGGGCCTGCACTCGTGGAATATAACCATATTCAAAAATACTAATTGAATCGTGCTGAAGGATTATTTTTAAATCATTCCCTGCCTCTCCGAAAACTTTAGAGGACGCCGTGTGAAATAAGAATGTCAAGGTCTTTGTTGCATGATCGTGATGCATCTCATTAAATGATTCATTAATAAGGCTCTGATGGCGCCTGTTACCTTTCTTTAATCTCTTTCCGTAACTAAATTCAACCTACTCCAACTTTCCTCGCTGAGAGCGTCAACAGGAAATGGGCATGTTCCTTCCTCTCTCGACACGGAATCCCGCCAGAAAATTAGAAGCTCCCTGACCTGGATCCGGTCCCTTCCCCCCAATGTTGCCGGATGTCGCACTAGAGTTACTTCAGATTCGTGACTGCTTCGGCCTTCGTATCAGTGTCTGGATCTTCAACTTTTAAATATAAGGAACTCTTTGGGCGAAGTTCATGACAGGAGAGTGAGACGGTGGATAGCTGTAATGATCGATATGGTGAGACATGGCGATATCCAGACATCCGGCACAAACCGGATGGCGCCAGTATCAATTGGTGCGGGTGAGTTTGAAGAAACGGAAAGCCCTTGAAGAAAATGATTTTACATCACAGATTGAGACGCACCTGTCGTACGAGGTATATCAACGTAGGAAAAACGTAGCATATTAATTTCCCTAAAACCCTGCGCTTCTTGACCCCGAATCGATTGCTAAATCATGGATTATACGTAATCTTAATCGATCTAGCACATTCGGCGACATTCAAGCGTTTCTTCCCGCTACTTCGATACCTCTCATGGAAATGGCCTCCGCCCTGTATTGAATGGCGCTCGGTTTTCATCAATCGCCCACAAACGGTCGTCCTTCCAGTGGAAGGAATTCCCTCAGATGTTTTCCCCGTAATATTGGTTTTGTGAATATGTAACACGGCTGAAGTCTTTCTCGCCCGATCGAACGCGTATCGACGTTGGGGGAAACAAATGATAGGGTGCCATCTGTCGACTTTCGACGACTGTCGCTCGCATGGTGACCGATTTTTTTTTTTTTCAAGGTTCCTACATTTCGATTTCACATCAGTGGACTTCCTGCAATTGGGTGATGTTTTTTGACTTCAGCACTCCTGAAGAACTATGCTCGTTTTCCCAAAACGTGGCCCTCGGAGTTGCCACGGGTTAATTATTCAAAATGCGCCGCGAACGTTTTCAGTTATGAGACACTACTGGGTTTCCAGGTTAAATGTGTCATCCACATCGAAGACATTAAGCTACGGTCAAATGGTGTCCAGCTTTGGCAGCGGTAACTCGGACTTGAAGTATCAAGTGCATGCAACGTAAGCACAATTCCTGATCACAATGTTCTTGGGTTCTAATAGGAACGGAATGCACGGAGATGACTGGACTTGAAATAAGTCCACGAAGTTGAAAGCACTTCCTAGGTTGGGTTCCAGGCACGCGGTGCGGCGTCCCTGCCGATTTAACCCATTGTTTTAGTACTACGGAACAGTTCAGTAGTCTCTGTGACTGGAGAAGGCGTAGACCAACGGAACAGTTTCGTAGATGGATTTCAAGTTAGTCTTCTGTACGTAATGTTGAGCGTCCCTCATCGATGGCATTCGCTGCATGACAGGGATGAGCTGAAGCCTTCTCATATGCAGTGAGTAATTCAAGATGATGTAGTGATTTATTTATATTTTCTTAACATTTTCAAAGGTGTTTTCTAAAAATACTTATTTTGGGATACGGATTTCAGTACATAATATATCAATGGCTTAAGCGACAGAAACATTTCATTCACCCATTCGCCCTCAGGAACTATTCAGTGTATCTGTCAGCGAACTCTGCTACCTCAGCCTGACGCGCGAGACCTACCGGCGTATGACCTTTCCAGGGCAAAGGCCTGGAAACGGGGAAGAAAATGCGATGATGTGTACATGTTACGCTTCTGGATACGAACGAGTGGAAAAGAATATAATTACCTGAAATGCATGTCGAATTCTCTAACGAGGACATGGAGAATCGGTACCATGATCAGGTATAATGATTAACAACCTAGGGCTTACCCACAAACCTATGTGACATACAAGAAAACTACCTGGTCCAGGAAGTCTCACGTGGACTATATCCTAAACAAATTTAATACAATTGAATGCACATAGCTCGTATACTTTCCAACTGTAAGAAATCCAACCCTGTTGGCAGATTTTTTTTTCAATTAGCGGTATGCGTATCCTGACATTCAAACAAGGCTGGGCATCTTCCCTCCCTTGTTGAAGTGAGTTTTGGCAACTTTCCACTACTCCCATCCCCCATTCTCAAATATCTTTGACAGTTTCCTGTGGACACTTTTTTATCACGTGATATCAGCAGTGGTTGACTTCTTTTTAGCGCTGCGCACCCATGCGCTTCACAGAAGTCCGCCCATTGAAACTGGAACAGGGGAGCATACCTTGGCCATTCGTCTGTACGAGACGGGCTACACTCGGTTTAAGGAGACGGAGTGCTCCAAGACACAGGCGAAACTTTGCACCTACACAGGACCATAGTGCAGTAATCAAGTTTCAGTCAAAGAAACGACAATGTGGAAGAAATTCTCTATCGTCTCGGTGGTCTATGACAGAAAAGTAGATAAACAGTTTGAGGACAATGGAGAAACGGTTGGTGTCGGTCCAGTCACCATCAAATTCCTTCAGAGATTTTCAGGACACGTGAGTCGTCGTTATTTATGTTTTATAGGCACATAACCTAATTTACTACTGGTTCTCACAAAGGGATACGCCTTAAAATCATCTTAGAAGATTGTATGTGACAAAACATATTGAAAGGTTATTTAATATTATGTTATGTTTTTGCTCATGGAAAAATATCCCAACGGTGAGAAATGTTCCACGGTGAACCTTACTAGGGACATCCGAAATTTAAAACTCTCAACATCCGGAGTAACGCAATACAACTTTTATGCTTGAATAAGCCTTGAGTAATTACCAATAGCGGATGTTAAGCACAACCGATAATACGTGGGGTGCGAGATAATTCTTTCATTTCTTTCGTTTTAAAGATATCAACGCAGGGTAGGCAATTACAACTCGTCCAATTAAATTGGCATTCATACACATTGAGGATGGGACCCGTGTAAACACGGATTTTGCGCACGACGAAGAAGCATCTTTTGACATCGGTTGGGGGTTTTCGAACTTATTGAACGTATGCTCTTGATTAGAAAGTTTTAAGTCAGAAAGCTTTTTAATTTGAGACAAATCCCTTTAGAACTTTAGGAGTTATGGCCTTTTTAGTGCTACAGTGCTTTTCCAGTTCTGTTTGCGTAAAAGGCCCGGGAACCATGGCTTTGGTAACACAATTTCGTCCGGTCCTCAATGTCTTAAGTAGACGCGCACTGATCATTCGATGAAACGCTAAATATATCTGATCATTCAGGGTCTGGGTCGTGCGGCGGATACTGACTCCTCTCGCTTCAGAAAGACCATCTGGCTGCTCGTCTTCATTACCGCATCTTGTTACATGACCCACGGGATCATCGGAGTCGTCACAGCGTTCGTGTCTGGTGTGGTGACTACCTCGACTCAAGTACATCAACCAGATTCCTCTCATTTGTCCACTTGACACATTTCTTTGCAGGGATTCAAATGAATGAAATTTCAGCATACCTACAGTAAGGTGTTATACGCCTTTCGAATGTCATCTCTCGAAGAAATGAGGGAAAAAAATCGTACATGGTAGCGAATTTATTATCTGTATCTGTTTGTCAACAGAGACTAATACGTTCTCCCTGTGAATCACAATATAGGTGGAGATGAAGGATAACCTCATTTTTCCAGCCGTCAAGATTTGCCCCGATATATATTGGCCAACAAACGAATTTCCAAAACTACCAATACATACCCGGAGTTTTACTTTACTGCTTTCGTCGCTTAGGGAGCATTCAAGGTTGAATATCACATGCCAACAGGCAAAAGCAGATCTCCATCCTTTCTTCTACGAGGCTGATTGCATTACGGACGAGAATGGAGTGGAAAACTTCTGCATCAAACCATATGCAAGAGGCGAGTTTTACGTTTTCATTTATAAGAAAATACACATATAGCCATACGATTGCAAAGTATCTTGCTTGAGCATATTGCTCCTAAAGCTCTGTTATGAGAGGCACTGGGCGGGGGAAAATATATATTTAGATACATATCTTCTGGAGTTGAGCTAAAAACAACTTTGTTTAATTTTGGTAAGGTCCTGATGGCATCGGCATCCCATAGCTGCAAGTAATTTAATGCTACAAAAATAAGCAAAGTAAATGCATGTTCATCAGCTTCCCAAAATGTGAAAGCCAACTGTGCAGATTTTTTCCAACCTGAGTTAAAGATTTTCCTAGGACGTCGAGCGTCGAAGAATATCGATTGCTTTTTATGAGGGAGAATGTAACTCGGTAATACAATAAATATCCCTCGCCATCCGCCTGCATCACCGTGGTAGTATTTCTTACAAATATGAAACGACAATATTCCTCTGTAGGTAACTCAACGTCCGGTGAAGAGGGGGCTCCGTTTTTCCAATTGCTGAAACACAGAAGAGTTTGGGACAGTAGATTTTGGATAAATTCAAATGAAAACAATGGTTTCGGTGAGGATCAGAAAAGTCCGGATTTGGAAGCCGATTTCAAGAAAACCTTGCAGCACATACTCTATTGCAGCTTCAATAGGAAGACTTGCAACTATTCGTAAGTACATTTGACCATTTCACCCGATTCACTCTATCTCCATGGATGGCCGCCCACATTTAATCCAAGTTGTACATTTAAGTGAAACTTTTGTTTGAGACATATTCCTACGTTAATAAGAAATCCCCTCAATTGTAAAACAAAGTACAAAATTAATGGAAATATCATGGAGGAAGTGAGTTTCTCTAGGAAACAGGAAGCTTATGCAACCTGGGAAATGTTAAGAAATTAGAGTTATGATTTTCCCAGCGATTTCAAGAGGGATGGAATTGGAAGCTGTCTCATTTTCAACGAAGATGGAATCAAGGCAGTCAAGCGCCGCTCGGAAAGACAAGGGACATCATCAATCATCAGCGGCATGGGATCCTCTGTGAGAGCCTTTCGAGTCGTCAATAATTCAGAAGAAATGAACATATCAGTGAAATTGACATTTTCCCTCTGAATTGTATTCCACAGGATGGACTTCAACTAATACTGACACCTCATGTCTGGAGCCAAAATAATCTCTATTTCGCGAACGGATTCCATCTCCAAATTCACTCTCCTGGAGCAGAATACGAATCAATATTTGGAAAGGAATATAAGGTAAACTTGGGAACGATTTCTCACGTCACCCCCAAGAAGGTGGTATTGCAGCGACTTCCTCCAGACGAAGGTGGACATTGTGCTCCAGCTTCCTATCTCGAAAAGCGGTTTGACCTCAACATGTTCAATCTTAAAACCAAATTTGAATACACCAACCAGGTGAGGAAGGCTCTGGTAGGTTAGGTCTCATAGTTCACCTAGAAATACTTGCCATGACATTTTCTTCATTTTTCTCCTTGTTTCGTCAGCTGTGTCGGCTTATGTGCCTTGCAGACCGGACGAAAAATGACCCTCTCGACCTATGCTGTGTCTCGGCTTTCGGTGGGCAAAATCTCGTCAGGATCAACAAAACGTGCGGATGTAAGAAATTTAATCATTTCTCCTGGTCTCAGTAAACTTCCATAGTGTGATTACCCATTCGGCACAACAATGTTGTATCAACATTGAGAATTGGTTGAAACGTTGAGAGTTGCTTGAAGTTGAGAATTCGACAAAAAATCAGCATAAATGAAATGCTAGCTATTCATAATTAACCGTTTTTTCAGCATTTGGTGATTACTCGTGAATTAGGGAAGTCGTTCAAAGGCTATTATGAACAATTTTTTTAAATCGTATTTTCAATGTTGTTTTTACGTGGAGTTATCCACATCATATCAACAGAAAATAGGTTCTACGAATCGATGCGAGATAGCGCCTAACCGCCCATTTGGCGATTCCTACCGTGATGCCTTGATTTAAACATTACCCTGCATTTTTCATGCAGTAATCGATCATTCCCCACTTACAGCAACGGGGAAGATATAGGAATTATGGCATTCCAACTCATGTGGTCAAATTTTAGTCACTTTCGTTAGGCTTTGGACTCCTATTTGCTTGAAAAAATTGTACATGTTGACATTGAAGACTTATGGAATTATTTAAAATGTTCGATCTCAGACTCTAACGGTTTTCGAGATATGCAGTCCTAAAATTAGCTCCAAAGAGGAAAGGTGACCTTTGGGGTAAAAGCGCTATCTTTGGTTCCAGTCGAGCTAGAAAAGTGTATTTGGACTCTAATTAAAGCTGAGACAATGCAGGATCGCATTATTAAATGAATTTTCTACTGGGTTCATTACCGAGTTACACAAATTCCACAATTGCAAATATTGTCGAATTTTGCACGCACATTTTAAGCGCTGGGATGCATGTTAACATAACGAGCTTTTGGAGCATCGTAGGCTAAAGCAATTTAATTCAAGAACTAAATTTCAACTTCCTACGTTATTTGAAACAACTTAAATTTGAATGTGGAATGTCCAATTTGGGCTATTTTCAGCAAATTTGGCGGTTTGTACATCCTGTTTAAAAGTGATACAAACTTGAAACTAATGTGTAATTAAAGCTCTCTCTAATTTATTTCCAATGATGTATTTATGATGCCGATGAATTCAATATTCTTGTCTGTGTAATTTTTTGAACGGCTGATCTTTTCAGTTTTCCTCCTGAAATGTTTTCCGAAGTACCAATTATGGGAATCCTGGTGAAACAACAAGGTTTGGATATGTATCACCAGTAACCTATAAAAAGCTGTGATTATATTTTATACATCTTTTAAGCTGTAAAAAAAATAATATTTAACGTTTTATCGATTTGCTGCAGTTACATTTGTGCTGACCTTTACACTTCCTTTAATTTCAGACAAAGCAGACTTCAGAATGGAATTGTGTTCCTTCCAAGTGTCCGGTCATTGCCACAAAACAAGCTGCATATCATTCTTTTAGTGAAAATGAATGGGAAATTTTGAGTTCTAGCTTCGGAAACGCCAGAAATGTATTCAAAAACATTTGCTTTCTTCATGAACAAGTTTGATGAGTGCGATATAATCTTCTCAAGGAGGGAATAACTGCCGTGATCGCTTCAACAGCCACAGGAGGATGTGAAAAGAGGTCGAGTTATCTCCTTGAACATCGCCAAAAAAATATATTTCTCTTCGTCTGATTCCGGAAAAGAAACTTGGGACAACATGCTTCATGCAGATGTACAAGTTTGTCCAAGCTCTTAGCAGAGCCCATACATTTTTGGGGGCAAACCATCGCCAAATAAAAAAACAATGGAGTAGTGTAAAAAAAAATACGGACTTTTGACCAAGTCTTCAACGAAGACGAGTAAACCACTGCCTGACAAAAATAGTTACTTTGGTGAGGCAATTCTACCAAGAGGACGACATATTTAGAATTTACGCGGGAACAAAAGGATGCAGTCTCGATCGTACATGGTGGAGAAAAGAAGCGAAAGCGTTTGCTGCGATGTCATATTGCTGTGCTGAACAAAAATTGGACATTTTCATGAAGCATGTTGCGCCAAGTTTCCAACCCGGAATCAGACGTAGAGAAATTTTTTTTTCGGCGATGCTCAAGGATATAACTGGAACTCCTTTCACCGTCCTCTTATGGCTGTTGGAGGGAACACAACATTTTTTCGCTTCCTTGAGAAGAGGATATCACACTAACCAAACTTGTTCATGATGAATGCAACGGTTTTTTATTACATTCCTGGCTTTTCCGAAGCTAAGACTCAAAAATTTCTTGTTCATTTTCACTGAATGATGTGTAGCTCATTTTGTGGCATTCACATGACATTTGAAAGGAATTCAATTCCATTCTGAAGTCTGCTTAGTCCGAAATGTAAGAGAATTAAGGTCAGCACAATTGTAGATGCAGCAAATCCATAAAACATCAAATATTATTTTTTACAGCTTTAATGAGGTATAAAATATAATCACAGATATGTATAGGTTACTGGTGATATATACCCAAATCTGGTTGTTTCACCAGGATTCCCATGTTTGATACTTCCGGGAAAACATTTCAGGAGGAAAATTGATTAGATCAATCGTTCAAAAAATTACACAGATAGAATATTGAATTCAACAGCATCATTGAAAAGAACTTAGAGAGGGCTTTAATTGCACATTAGTTTCAAGTTCGTATCACGTTTGAAACAGGATGTACAAACCGCCAAATTTGGTGAAAATAGGCCATATTGGACTTTCCACATTCAAATTTAAGTTGTTTCAAATAACGTAGGAAGTTGAAATTTAGTTTTTGAATTGAAATTGCTTTAGTCTATAATGCTGCAAAAGCTCGTTGTGCTACCATGCATCCCAGCGCTTAAAATGTCCGTGCAAAATTCGACAATATTTGCAATTGTGGAATTTGTGTAACTCGGTAATGAATCCAGTAGAAAATTCTCTTAATAATGCGATCCTGCATTGCCTCGGCTTTAGAGTCCAAATACGCTTTTCTAGCTCGACGGGAACCAAAGATAGCGCTTTTACCCGAAAGGTCACTTTTCCTCTTCGGGGATAAATTTAGGGCTACATATCTCGAAAACCGTTTGAGTCAGACATCGAACATTTTAAATATTTTCATTAGTCTTCAATGTCAACATACACAAGTTTTTTTTTCAAGCAAATCGGAGTCTGAAGCGCAACCACCCCTTGACCGCTTCAGCTGGAATGCCTTAATTCCTAGATAGACATGTTTAAGGAGGTAATCAGGCAGAAGGAGACCCACAGTACTTCTGGTCAGTGGGTTCGAGGAGACACGCTCAATTTTCCAAAATCTCCACATGGCACGCGCCCTTTCTCAGATTCTTCCATGATGGGTAGAGTATAACAACAATTATGCCCGCGAGGCTGTTTTCCAGTAATGGACCGAGAGGATGGAGTCATGTAAGTACTCAATGTGAATTCTGATTCAGTAGAGTAAATAAAACTCTGAGGGTCTTTTATGCGGGATGATTGTACTCGGTAGGGCATTGCTAGTATCATACCACTTGGCGACCATCCATGGAGTCATCGAGTTCATATTCAATTTCATCCGTTAATCAAAGCTCATTCAGACTCTGGAATAGGGAGGAGTTACTATAATGCCCGTACGATGACAATTCAACGTTGACACAATGGTGCATAGCATCAACTTTTCTACGTTGAGCTGTTTCATTTGAACATAGTGGCAACATGTTACGTTGAAAAGTCAAATTTTTCTCAACATTGAGGCAACATTGCATCAACCTTTTTTCAACGTTGACAAAACGTTGTGCCGAATGGGTACGGTTGATCTCATGAGCAATTGTGGTTCCTAATCATGAAGACTTGCAATGTCATCGTGATATTAATCGATGAAATTATCAAGAGATTCATTCTATGATATTCATGGAGGAAAGGTGCAAACGACCAAATCTTCCAGCGGTTGGCCGATGAGTTCGACTCAAGAGGGTTCTGCGATTGTCCTCCAGTAACCTGCTCGTAAGCGTCCATCTGGATGCACACTCTCTACGTGAAGAGTAAAAACCCATTGAAATAGGTAATTTTGTTTCAGAGAGGAGACGTATTCCTGGTCGTTCACCTCAGCGCAGTTGAGTCGCGAGGAGGTATTACTCCTGCATCTCATCAAATGGATGGCAGAGGCGAAAAGAAAGAAGATGAATGACAGCGAGCTGAAAAACAGGACTTTCTGTCTTGATCCGAAGTCTGTCCAGTCAACATCAGAGTTTAAGTGAAAATATCAATAGTTCAATAATAAAAATTACTGCATGCTAGTCGCCTTTTTAGTTGACGGTTCGCCGATTGGGATATGAACTCTATTTCTTGTTTTGAAGTTCATGACTCTCAACTTCCTTAACAGAGAAAATCTTGCTGTGGTGAACGTCTACTATGAAACCTTTGCAGTGGAGACAATTTCGGAACATCCTCAATATCCAGTGAGTGGAAATCGTTCACGAGTCAGTAGGTCGGGATTCCCCGAATAATGTCACTATTTGGTCCGCAACACTTTTCATTGGTTAGTGGTCGAGCTTCATTGGGACGTTGGGAGGGATGCTGGGTTTATACACCGGGCTGTCCTTCATCTCTATCTTGGAAGTGATGGAGTGGATCCTCAACATCTTCCTGTATGGCTGGAGGAAGCCTCGGCCTTAGGTGATGGATCCATGGTTTCATGGTTCAAATTTCAGAAGACTTTGTGTTCAAAAATAAAACCCAACACTAATGAAATGTCATGTGAATATATCAATTCATATCATTATGCATACTTCCCATGGGATTATTTCATCCCTTCTTCTGATCCACTCGCTCACTAATCTCAGGGATTAGACGCCAAGTGAGATCTTTAAAAATTGGTATGGGATGGCAACTCCATTTTCCTTTTCATGGTAAAACTTATATGCGAGTTTTACTTACCTGAGGAGGCACGACCTTGCGCGATGGACAAAAGAGACACAGCCCTGACGACTCCGGTCCCACAAAACCTTTCCTTTGGATGGGATTACTCTCCAATTTAGAGCCGCGCTGAGTGGGTTCCTGTATCGCCTGATCGTTCACTCCCTGATCCACATCATCGGTTGGAAACATTTCCAGATTAAGGGCTGCTTAAGATGAAGTTCTTTGAGTTGCTTCTCTAACTTGATCATTTTACAATTAACACATATAGGCCCTACCACTGTTTGCTAATTGCGCATATGGTGCCTGTTAAATTATTGGTACCAGAGATTAATCATTCAGGAATAGGTTTTTGAAAACTTGCGATGGTAGAAACATTGCGTCATGCCTATACAGTAAAAGTTTTCATGAGTGTAGTGGGAGAAAAAGTAGTAGGGGAAATCTGGGAATTCTACCACAATCGTGAAACTGCCGGGTAATTCTGCAACATATCACTTCTCCCCTATCACTTTCCTGTATGAACCTCAATCAGCACCATATCTAGTTTAACGGATACTGCCATATGTTCTGTGACATCACTGCGATCTCAGTTCTTCCATCTCAACTGAGTAAATAATGACGTATGGACAACGGAAGCAAGGTGCTCCTCCTCGCTCAATACCATGCTTTGTAGCGAGTCTCCGCTTGCTCGATATGAGTCGAGCATTATATTGGGTTGTCCAATAAGTTCGTGCCTTTTTTTATTATTAAGGCATCATTTGCCACAACAGGTATTGCCTATCAATGAGTGTTATATACCATTTTGTATCTCTTGTTTTCCTCTTCCAGAATAACTATTGAGTTTTTCATTTTCGTTTATTAATAGTTTTTTTTAAGGTTGATGGAGCTTCAGGTCGACAAAAAACGAACGTCTTCGACATCTCCTTGTCTACGAGTTTAATCGTGGCTGTAATGCTACGCAAGCCGCTCGAAACATCAGTGCCGTCTACGGACAAGGTTTTATTGCTGAAAGGACAGCTCGAAAATGGTTTGCCCGCTTCAAAGAAGGCGATTTCAGCCTGACTGACGCCCCTCGGTCAGGACGTCCAGTGGATTTTGATGAAGAGTGCCTGGAAACTCTTCTTCAAGAGGACAACCTCCAAACAACACGAGAATTGGCCGAGCAACTCGACTGTGCGCCACAGACAGTGCTCAATCACCTTAATGCAATGGGAAAAGTCTAGAGGTTCGGTGCAAGGGTCCCTCATGAACTTAGCCAGATCAACAAAAATCAGCGGGTCATTGCATGCGCCTCTTTGCTTGCTCGACATCGCCTCGCAGCCGCCCAACATCGACCATTTCTTTCCTTGATTGTGAATGGCGATGAAAATTGGTATCTTTATGTCAACATGAAGCAGCGAAAAGAATGGGTGGACAAAGGCAAGCAACCAAACCCGCGCGTCAAACAGGATTTACATCCTCGCAAGACTCTGTGTTTGGTGGGGAATGGAGGGAATTATTCAATGGGAGCTGCTTGAAAGGAACCACACAATAACAGCTGAGGTCTACTGCTAACAACTTCGGCGCCTTGTGGAAGCAGTCCGTCAAAAACGTCCAAATCGCCGATATGAGGTGATCCTGCAGCGCAACAATGCCCGCCCCACGTCGCAAATCTCACAAAAACGGCCATTCAGGAGCTCGAATGAGAGGTTCTTCAGCATACACCGGACTCCCCAGACATCTCACCGTCTGACTTTCACCTTTTCCGCTCACTTTCGAATAATCTTCGTGGTGTTACATTCGATGATGATGAAGGACTTGCAGAACTGGCTGGAAAATTGGATCGCTTCAAAAGATCAGTCTTTTTACAGACGTCGAATCGAGAAACTGCCGGAACGCTGGGAGAAAGTAGTGAATAATGAAGGGGAATATATAATTGATTAATTGTAATTAAATATTGTTGCATAAAATATATAAATTTTGTATTCGCGAAAACGAGCCGAACTTATTGGACAACCCAATACATACACTAGCGGCCGCTACGCTGGCCGTCTAATGGGTGGAAACTTGAACCGTCTATTATGAGCATAACGTTTCCTTGACAATTCTCTGTTCACCTCATTTCCCATTCAGAACTGAACCGCTTCATTACATTTATACACTTACAGCCTACAGTACACAGGGATATTCTGTTCCTAAACACCATCATCACGATATTCCAGCTGATTGGCACAATCGTTCATTGTGAGGGCTTAGCACGTTTTCATGAGACTCAATACGACTTTGCTGATTTCGTCTCCCAAGCACATTCAATAGTCTTGCATCATCGACTAGCTCATTGGCAATTAGCCTTAGCCTATGGTACACACACCAATGGTTCTGAAACAGTACTAATCATTTTCAAGAACTTGTTCGAAGGCACAGAGGGAAGTTAGTGCATGCGCGGCACAATGCTAGCGACTAATTCCAGAAAATGGCTCGCCACCACATTACCCTGAGGTTTGAAAGTGTTGCTCACTGGTGCTAAAGTGTGAGTTGCAGAAGGAGCATTTTTCCGTTGTGAAAGAAATGCCTCCTCCCTACATCAAAATGTACAGCCTGATAGTGCTCGCTGCGACAAACAATTGTAATGATTGAGAAGACATGGAGAGGCATAACATCCCGAGTTCCGTGGTGTAATGGTAGCACATCTGACCGGCAAGCTGGAGGACCGGGTTCAATTCCCGGCCGCCCCCGGCTTTCGGCACCCAAGTGCTGCGTTCCTTGTATCAAATTTCTCAGCAGGCTGCACGGCTCTCTCATTCCGGAGCTCAGCATTCGCTGCCTCTTGCTGTTCAACGGTCTAAGCGGCTCTACGCACATCTGCATGCTGTTCATCACTGATTCTAGCCATTACGGCTAGCACCGATTTAGGTACTTCGCACCGCAACTGCAGTGGCAAACGTTGTTTTCGCACCAGACCAAGCGTTTCTTACCCGCAACAACTGCCTCATCGCCGTCCTGTGGGACGTCCTTCAACATCTCTTCTTCGCGTTCAACCTCACCTCGCAAAAATTGCCACCATTTGGATGGGAGGTACACCACGCTTGCGCGACATATGAAGAAGAGACTATCATATTGACTTCAAAAATCATGAGAACTCAAATAAATCGGCCATAACATGAAACGCAAACAGAAAACTATAGCATGGAAGCGATGGCGCGAATCGCCACGTCTGACCTGACGGAAAGAAAAAGAAATACAGAAAAGAACACATCAGCAAGGAATGTATTGAAATGAAGAACTTGCAGTCGATCAGTGAAAACGTGGCACGCATTCAGTTAGTAACACCCTTTGCTTGAGACAGCTAAGTATGAAGCCTATGGAAATAATTGGATGAACCAATGCCTATAGTTCAGAGTGATATAGCCTGATGGAGCTGGAGGTAAGTGCGTTGAATGGCCATGGACCTGGCGCTTTGGGCTGTGGCTGGTCTAGCCCATGGCCAAGGATGGCATAGCACAGTCTAGCCTATGGCCTAAAATGATCTAGTCTTGTAGGCCTCGCGCGTTGCGGTGACAGCAACCACCGAAACTTTTTCCCAGCACATTCAATACTCTTACATCACTGATTAGCTCCCAATTAGATGCCCACAATAGACCATTCAAATTTCTGTCTGTAAGACGGCCAGCGTAGCGGCCGCTAGTCACCTAACTTCCTCTTGAACAGCTCCTTAGGTGCACCACTCTAGGAATGCTCTAGAACAGTGGTGCCCAACCTTTTCGGCGATAGGGCCACATAGCCCACTCCCAAAGCGACTGAATTTCCATGGTATATAGTATCCTTCACAGATTAAGAGTGAACGTCTGTCAAGAAAATTTCGCCTCTACATTCAGAATCTGTTGGTTTGTTGTTAGCCAGATCCGCAGGGTATGCATGATAAATGTGTTCCAATCAAGCCCCGGCATAGAGGTCGTAAATATGCGCGCAAGCTGAGTGACGTCACACGGACCCACGTCGTAGGGGCCGTCGGGTACGCTTTCGGCTCTCCTTCCCCAGTAGTGGAGGCAGGAGGACATTCCCTGTCTCTCTCCCTCTTCGCTGTTCTCGCGCACTCAATCTTCCTTTGCGCCCTGCTTGCCGACCCAGCTCCCTGTTCCCACTCCGTCTCATCTACGCGACGAAAGATATGCGATGCGTAGTCCATTATTTCTCATCCGTTGGTATTCCGTCGTAGTCGCTCTCTATTTCTCGATCTTTTCCCTCGCTGGCTACTTTTTCCATTCGTTATGGAAGAAATACTGCACCCGTCACGGCTATTAGAATGAGTCATGGGTAAAGGAAGTGGAAAAACCCGAGTGGTTTTTGGTTGCGAGGCCTCCTATCGAAACCAGCAGAATAGAGAAGTCGGCTTTTAATGCTTTCTCACTTTCGCTTGAAAGAAGAGGAGAATGGATGAAAAGTTTAGGAAACCACTCCATACCAAAGACACGCTCGCGCCACTTCTTGAAGGATCGCTATCATGCAGGGTATCCTGACAAGGGAAAAGTTCTGAAAAAATGCTGCAGTCCCTTCGCTTTCCTTGGTCTTCCATGCTTCAGCTGATTTAACTCTCCCCACCATCTCAACTAATACTGGAGTACCGAGTTACCTCGAAATTTTTCCTAATCGATGATACGAGTTCGCCCTTCACCACTTGAATTCTCTAAATCTCCCACTTCTCGAGAATTAAATACCTTTTGCGTAGGAGATTCCCTTTCTGCACGACGGGGCTTGCACTCGGAAAAAATCCTGATTTGGTT